CTGAACGGTCTTGTCGCCAATCTGCATGCCGTTCACGCGCTCGATCGCCTGCCAGGACCAGCTGCGGCCAGAGAGCATCGATGCTGAATGCAGCCAGGAGCTGTCATAGTGGCTCACTGGTAGGAAAAGACAACGACAGAAATATACATTTTCGGAGGTCTGCGTGGACTTCTTGTGAACCCCCCTCCCTGGCGCGCGGAGCGGGCCAGGGCGGCACCACAGGCTCTCAGAGTGGGTGGCCCTCGCGCTGATCCCAGAAAAATCCGCGCGGAGCTCCAACAGTTTACGTTTATGCCACGCATAACTATACTTCGAACTATCGCATGCACGCCCTGCGAATGCGCATCCAGCTCACACAACCCAGCCACTTCGCGACATTGCGGGGACAGAAAGCGACCACAACCACATCGAGGACACACCCTGGGGGATGTCTTGCGCATGCCGAAAAATCCCGGAACACCGAAACCAGCTTCGTGCTGGTTGTGGTCGATGTGGCGTCCCAGGAAATCGACCACAAGCACAACCAAAGTGCTCATGTCGATGTCGGTGGGTTCTCCCCCGAGGGGCCCTGGCGAAAAATCCACTTGGTTGTGGTTGTGGTTCTTTGCTGCGCCCGGAGACATGTCAACAACAACTCAGACCTCCAGCTTTGTGGAAAAATACCCTCTGGGCACATCCACGCATCAAACTCGGAGATCTACTGACCCGGTTCAATCCAGACCAGGGTCAGTCAGGCTTTGCAGAATCCTGCAAAGTCCTGCAAGACCCTGCAGGATCATGCGGGATCCTGCGCCCTAATCAGGGTCAGTGCAGCCCTGGTTCTGCAGGATCATGCAAGATCCGGCGCTCTGGCTGACCCCCGATTGCATTGATCCCCGTCCGATCTGGACACAGCCACGCACCAAAGTCCCGCCGCCGCCGCCCTTCCCTCCCCCTTTTCCTCCTCGTCGTCCTCCTCGTCCTCCTCCTCATCCTCCATATCCTCCTCCTCCTCCTCCTCCTCCTCCTCCTCCTCCTCCCCCTCCTCCTCCATTCTATTTCCTTATAAACAAGAGGCACGCGTGCCAAGGATCATACAGACACGGATGCGGGGCAATGGGAGGTGGAGATGGCGCTAACCTGTAGTAGTTTCGGGGAAGCGCGCGAGTGCTGCAACACGCTGTACAATGACCATAACGGAAGAGCAACGAATAGCAGCATGGTTGTGTGGACGCAGCCCTTAATGTGACGGGGGAGGTTTGCGAGGCTTCAACGGCGTATGTTATAATGCAGGCCACCTGTGGAGCGAAACGCTTGGTCCCAAGAGGGGGGGCGATGGTATGCGTAGCCATGATCCAAGGCTCATGCAGCCCTGAGAGGCAGGGGGGTGTAAGGTTATAAGGACCCGGGCCCTTGGTTTCCCAGGCGCTCTTGCGCGCTCTTGCGCGGGCCCGGGGTCTGTCGCGTGAGCTGTTGAGGCGCCACGGGGGCCCGAAGACGGGCCAAGAGGGCCCCAAAAGACTCCCAAGACGGTGGAAAAAAGGGCCCGAGTCGTCGAAACATCGGTCCAAGACGCCCAAGATGGCCTCCAGACGGCCCGAGACACCCCCAAGACGCCCGAGGAGGCCTTCAAGAAACCTGCCCGGGAGGGCACCAAGAAACAAAAATAATATATGGTTGATAACTTGTTAAAAGATTGCTCACTCTTGGGAGCCTTGGTGTGCGGAACTTGCTACGTCATTGTGAGCCCGTCTGAGCCATGGTGTAATTTGGCGCCGCGGTCGGTCGGTCGGAATAAGCAAACGGGGGCCACGAGGGGAATGAGGGGGGCACAGGGGGGCCACGGTCGGGCAGGGGGGGGGGGCACGGTCGGTCGGTCGGAATACACAAAAGGGGTGGGGGCACAGGGGGAAAAGGCGGGAGCACGGGGGGCCACGGTCGGGCAGTGGGGGGGGGCACGCTCGGCCGGTCTGAATAAACAGAGGGGGTGGGCACGGGTGGGGGGAGGGACACGGTGGGCCACGGTTGAGCAGAGGGGGGGGGGGCACGGTCGGCCAGTCGGAATAAGCAGAGGGGGGGCCGGGGGCACCCGCGGGGTGAAGAGGGGGCAGGGGGGTGCACGGTCAGGCAGGCGGAATAAACATACGGGGGCCACGGGGCGGAGGGGCGCGGGGATGAGCGGGGGAACGGGAGGGCACGGTCGGGCAGGGGGTGGGGGCACGGTCGGTCGGTCGGCCGAATAAGCAGCGAGGGGCGCGGGGGGGAGCAAGGGGACGGGAAGGCACGGTCGGGCAATGGGGGTGGCACGGTCGGTCGGTCGGTCGGTCGGAAGAAGCAGACGGGGAGCAACGGGGCGAAGCGGATCGGGGGGGGCACGGTCGGTCGGCTGGTCGGAATAAACACACGGGGGCCACGGGGCGGAGGGGCGCGGGGGGGAGCAAGGGGACGGGAGGGCACGGTCGGGCAAGGGGGGGGGTCGGTCAGTCGGTAAGCAGACGGGGGGCCACGGGGCGGAGGGGTCGGGACGAAGCAGGGGGAAGGCAGGGCACGTCGGACAGGGGGGGGGTACGGTCGGTCGGTCGGTCGGACTAAACAGACGGGGGCCACGGGGCGAGGGGCGCGGGGGGGAGCAGGAAGGGCACGGTCGGGCAGGGAGGGGGTACGCACGAACGGGGCGGAGGGGTGCGGGACAAGCAGTCGGGCAAGGGGGGGGGGGGTACGGTCGGTCGGTCGGTCGGAATAAGCAGACGGGGGCCACGGGACGGAGGGGCGCGGGGGGGAGCAAGGGGACGGGGCACGGTTGGTCGGTCGGTCGGAATAAGCAGACGGGGGCCACGGGGCGGAGGGGTGCGGGACGAAGCAGGGGGAAGGCAGGGAACGCTCGGGCAAGGTCGGTCGGACTAAGCAGACGGAGGCCGCGGGGCGGAGGGTCGCGGGGGAGAGCTAGGGGACGGGAGGGCACGGTCGGGCAAGGGAGGGGGGACACGGTCGGTCGGTCGGTCGGAATAAGCAGACGGGGGCCACGGGGCGGAGGTGTGCGGGGGGGAGCAGGGGGAACGGGAGGGCACGGTCGGGAAAGGGGGGGGGGGGTACGTCGGTCGGTCGGTCGGAAGAAGCAGACGGGTGCCACGGGGCGGAGGGGCGCGGGGGGAAGCAACGGGACGGGGCACGGTTGGTCGGCTGGTCGGAATTAGCAGACGGGGGCCACGGGGCGGAGGGGTGCGGGACGAAGCAGGGGGCACGCTCGGGCAAGGGAGGGGGGCACGGTCGGTCGGTCGGTCGGAATAAGAAGACGGGGGCCACGGGGCGGAGGGGCGCGGGGGGGAGCAAGGGGACGGGAGGGCACGGTCGGGCAAATGGGGGGGCACGGTCGGTCGGTCGGTCGGAATAAGCAGACGGGGGCCACGGGGCGGAGGTGTGCGGGGGCAGGCCGAATACACGGGGCCGGCATGCATCCCAACGCACATCTTGGCCCAGAGACCCCAGTGCACACAGGCCACACCCCAGCACGTATTCCAGCACACGAAGGCAGCACACATCCCAACACGTATCCCAGCACATGGAGGCAGCACACAGCACTGCACACATTCCAGCACACGGAGGCAGCACACAGCACTGCACACATCCCAGCACACGAAGGCCGCACACGTCCCAGCACACGTCCCAGCACACATCCCAGCATACATCTCAGTCCAGCGCACATCCCAAGCACGGTCGGTCGCTCGGTCGAAAAACATGCAGTGCGAGATCACACCGGTGGGTATGATAATACATGTTCCCTGTCGCACCCCGAATTGGTCGAAAGGGCGGGCCGGGCGTTTCGCCTGAGATTTCCTCACCACTTATGACCCTGAAACTTAAAAATTGGCAACAGCGTTACAAATGGAGGGCGGGTCGTTCTCACAATTAAAAAAGCTTCACGGATTGAAGGCGGATCGTTTTCAAAATGTGTCTCTCACCTTCCTTAGCGCCGCGCACATTCGCTTAAAAAAAATCCAGAGCTTCACGGATTGAGGGCGCTTCGTTTTCAAAATATGTCTCTCGCCTTGGCGCCGCGTGCATTCGTTCTAAACATGTGCAAGAGTTTCACGGATTGACGGCGGCTCGTTTTCAAAATGTGGTTCTCGCCCTAACGCCGCGCACATTCCTGTAACAACTGCAAGAATGTCACGGAGTCTCATGGTCAATGTACCAGAAATTGGACAGATTCCCGATTATGAGAGTGCAACAGTTACTTTGATTCGCGGTGCTCGGAACCCAGGAATGGCGTTCTGGCGCGATTCGGGATCGTCAAGATGCAATAGTCAGGTTGATCCGTGGCGATGGAGTGAAGAGAATAATGGTTTGACATGCTTCAGGGTCTTCAATCAGTTGTCTTCCAACGAAGCAGTTCCCTCAGTGAAAATGAACCCTCGTAGGGGCCTGTGAAGAGGGAGCTTGGAGGAAGGCTTTATGCCAATACAGTTGACGGCTCTTGGGTTTACACTGGTCCTCCTCCCACTCCTCCTCCTCCTCCTCCTCCTCCTCCTCCTCCTCCTCCTCCTCCTCCTCCTCCTCCTCCTCCTCCTCCTCCCCTCCTCCTCCTCCTCCTCCCCCTCCTCCTCCTCCTCCTCCTCCTCCTCCTCCTCCTCCCTCCTCCCCCTCCTCCTCTCCTCCTCCTCCTCCTCCTCCCCCTCCTCCTCCTCCTCCTCCTCCCCCTCCTCCTCCTCCTCCTCCTCCTCCTCCTCCTCCCCCCTCCTCCGGGGGTCGAGACCTCCGGGGGCCCCGCGCCGCGAGAGGAGCGACGGCGTCGGCTGGCCAGGGCCCTCCGGCAGGCCCGCGGGCCCCTCCGCGGGGGGGAGGCCCTCCGCGGGGGGCGCCCCGGGCGCCCACCGAGGAGGAGCCGGCTGCCGTCGGGCCCCTCGGGGAGGCCCAGGGGACCTCGGGGGCCTCGCCTGATAGGGCGACGAAATCTATACATATCCACTGCTCCCTGGCCAGGCCCATCCTCAACCCCGCAGCGGTGTATACCCCACGCCCTCCTGGCTTGGCCAGGAGGGCGCATACACAGCTCCTGGGTTCAAGATGGGCATG